TGTTTCGCCAGCCACGGGGATGTCGCCATTCTATTGCGACCTCGGCTACCACCCTCGCGTACCCGCGGATTTCCTACAACCATCGCGGTTGCGCCCAGACACTCGTTGCCCTGCGCTTGACGACTGGATCGCCCACATGGCAGCGATTATGAAGTGCGCACACGAGAGTTTAGCAGACTCTCAGACTCGCATGGCCGCACAAGCGAAACGATCACGAATGGATCATCCATTCAAAGTCGGTGACGATGTGCTCGTCGACGCACGCCACTTACAGCTCGAAGCAGATACGCTTCGCAAGTTCAGGCGTCGTTTCTTCGGTCCATGCCGCATCCTTCAAGCCGTCGGTTCTGATACTGTCGCTAGTCCGGTCAGCTTCCGTGTGAAGCTACCTTATTACCTTCGACAGGCTCGCGTACACGATGTTTACCACGTCTCCTTGCTGCGTCCTTATTGCAGACCGTCCGAGCGCTTCGCCGGACGCCCTTATGAGCGCCCTCCACCTATCATGGTGGACGGTCATGAGGAGTTCGTTGTTTTCGACATCGTATCACGCCGAGTTACCGACGATACCCCTCCACGCATCGAGTACCTTGTGCGTTGGAAGGGCTACCCTGATGAGGAGGCTACTTGGGAGCCCCTCAAGCACTTGCAGCACGCCAGGATGTTGGTGCGTGCATACGATCGTGCTCGTTGTGCTGAGATGTCTGCCCCTGCTCAGCCGATTGACCCTCTTCCTCCTCCTCCGGCTGAGGAGATTGCTGAGGACGAGCCCGCTCCCTCTGAGGCCGTTCCTCAGCCGCAGACGGTCGCCTCCGAGCGTCCAGAGCGCACTCATCATCGCCCTTCGCATTACGATGACTGACACTCTTATCCTCTATCTTTCCCCTACTGACTCACACCATCAGGTACTCCATCATCAGCTTCTTCAGGATGTCAGCGTTTTGCGGCTCTGCTTCGACATCGAATCCACTGCTACTTCATCGACGTTATCGACCACTTCGACGTCTTCAACCACCTCATTGGCTTCAGCTACTTTGGACGTGACTACTTCACGCACCACCCTACCCTGTACATTCCCTTGCATATGTCGCATGATGGTTCTCACTTAGCTGGGTCTCTTTGAGTTGGGCTCTCCCTTGGTATCACATAGGCATTGGGACCGTAACGTTATCTTGGCTTCCCTGCTCCCAGATCTAGCTCCTTCCTCCCCCAGCCGGTGAGTTGTGTGCATGTTTCCCTCACCCACTGCCCTCATCACCCTAGTGTCGACCCTTGCATGCCTTCAGTTAGGCATATCTCCACCCTATTCCAGGCTCCCCCTTTTTTCATGGTCGACCCTGCATGGTGTCATCCTTTTGTCGAGCATTACCCGCCCTGATGGTCTATCTGTTAGGGTCTTTGGTTTTGTTTCGCTATCACTTTCCCACCTTGAGCCTGATGACCTATCCCACCTTCACGTGTGACTGCCCTTAGGAGTTTCGATTCTTAGGCTGCATTCACCACCTCTGAGACCATCCCACCCTTAGTGGTTCAGCGACAGGACATTATTTTGTGTCATATTGCTCTTTTTCCTTTCAGCACTGAGGCAATTGCCTCCATGACTTTAGGATTGTATATTGCTCCATTTCACTTTTTGCTATTAGCTAGGATATGGATACCAGACATTTGTTTTTCTTTTGACATTATGTAGCTTAGGATGCATCGCATGGACTCCGCATGGAGCTTACTCCGCATCCTAGATTTCTCAGCTTTCTTTATTGCAGAGTTCCGCTGCTTTTGCGGATAGCGTGTTTATGGCTTTTACGATCCATTACAGGTCTGAGGATTGTGCAGCGGGCCTTCATCTGCCCTGGCCTACAGCCAGGGCCTATTTGGCTATTTGCTAGTTCGGCCTGTGGGACCAGGCCGTGGCCTGACCGCACAGGCCGTGTGATGTTCCAGTCCTGCCCGGTACCACTGTCGGTACCAGGCCAGTCCAGTTAGTCAGTCCGTTGGGGGTATACCCCAGCTGTAGTCTGTTTTTGATTCATTCTTCATTTGCACAGATTGGAGTACGTGCGTGTTGAGTCTGCGTTGGAGTTGCGCTGTCCCTTCCAGCTCCATCTCAATCTCCCCCATCCCCATCCCTTCGTCTCCTGATCCTGGCGGACATCCGTGCTCAAGCCTCCAACAGAGAAGTCGCATTCTTGAAAGATGCGGCGGTGATTCACGTGTGCCACGAGTTGAAAGACAAACGGGGACTGGGTCAAAACGCGGGGAGAAGGCCGGCGTGAGAGGATAATCGCACACATAGGACTTTTCGGACTGAGCTCTGGACGCGATTACCGTCAGATGCACCGTCTGGCCAAATTGCAGTCAGATGCATCTAGGAAATTGCTAGTGTGAGTACTGCCTGAGTTCTTCTTTTTTTTTTTAAGAAAAAGGGAAGATTTCATTATATGCTGGGAAACGGGCCCAGCGTCCCTCACATCATTAGCCACAGCCTAAGGCCCTGACGGGATGCGTCGGGCTCTCCGTCCCCAACCGCAGCAGAATGAGCCGTGCTCCCCGGCCAGGCTTCAGGGTCAGATCCGAGTGCCCTGGATTATTCGTTTTTGACCCTCGATTACGAAGATCAACAGTCAGAAATGAACAATAGGGGCTAGTGGGATCTGGCCCTAACTTGGGTCGTTCGCCGTAGGTTCTGCTATTCGCACTCTTTTTTTGCAGAACCAGGACGCGTTCACGAAAGTTTTTTCTACTACATGTCTTTGTCGCCTCCCTTGACTGCTTTCTTCCTCTTCTTCCTCCTCTTCTTCTTCTTCTTCTTCTTCTTCTTCACTTGGTCATGCATGTATGATTGTCGGAGTCTCCATCAGTCTTTTCTGTTCATTCATTTGTCAATTGACAACAGGCTTAACCCAAACTGCAGCAGAAAAACTGAGGGCGCATCACACAGCGCCGCCAGCGGTGGCAGTCTAGCAAAATCTGCTGAATGTTCTTTCCCATGTTTGCTGAAGTCATACCCCGCCCGGTCACACATGGGTTGCAAATCAGAAAGGACACGAGGGGGACTTTCTGGCAATTGCAAAAGTGGTGCCTCACATGGTCACAAAGAGAGGAATTTTTTTTTTACGAATTCCCAAAAGGCTAAAGAGAATTTGCCAAAAGAGAATTTGCCACCACCTCTCGAGGTGGTCACGGTGGCAAAATGCCCATCGCTACGGGCCCCCAGGCCGCTGACAAATGCTACCCCGTTTGCAATTTTGGTGGTGGAAAAACACTAGTGTGACCATAACAGCCTTTGCTGGCCTTTTTTGTTTTTTGCTGATTGGCTTTTACCACCCCCTTTGCTGCCTTCCAACCTGTGGCCTTCTTTTTTTTCCCGTCTCCGAGTCTTTCTCAAAAGATGGGTAATTTGCAAAAGAAAAAAAGGGATGGGGTAAGCCCCAAACATGATTGCATCCCCCACGGTATGAACTCATAGCCTGTTTTTCTTTTTACTTTATTTATCAACAGGTAAACCTGTGGTGTTGAGTTGTGTTCGGACACTACAGCCTTGCAGTGGTGGGGTACATATCATGACTGCGGACTGGCATGGTTACACTTTTGTACACCGTGTCCTGGCTGTAGTGGTTAAGAGACTTGGCTCTTGGGGTCGAGGTCGCCGGTTCGAATCCGTGCAGGAGCACGGAGGAGGATTTAGGCCCATCAAGGTACAGATCCATAACCAAAAACCGGGGAGAGGTCCCACTAGCAAAAAAAATTGGATTAAGCACCTGAGAAAAACCTGGATGTCTTTTAGGCAGAGATGCAGAAAGGCAGCTCAGTTGCAGTCAGCGGTCACAGGAGGCCGCAACGGTTGGGGGAGGGAGAGTGGGGCTCATTTGACACTCCTTGGGGCGTCCTGGGGGCCGAAGGAAGTTTCCTTGGGGGGTTTCAAGGAAATTTCTGCCATCGTTCCACCTGTCCTCAGGGACGTCGCCCGAGGACATTTCCTTCGAACGATGTCAGACAAGAAAAAAGAAAAGAAAAAAAAATCAAATGTGTTTGAGGCCTTCAGCCAATAGGGTGCCGCCACGATCCAGATTCTTCGTTGTAACTTCTCATGACCCAGGTGCCCACTCCTCTCCGTGAAATGCGGATTCCTTTTTCCCAAGGGACCTCGTGAGGCAAAAAGACTCTCCCTCGCCCCGAAGCACGAAATTGGGCCAGCGGGCTGGAGAGCTCCGCCGCCCGACGTTTGGATGCGACGGCGGGCTTCGCGGTGAGGGCAGGAAACGAAGAGCCGTTGGGGCGCTATGACGGCAAGTGTGACGTGAGGAGGAGGTGGGAGAGGGACATGGGTTATGGAGGAGCAGGATAGTGGTGTCTGGGCGTTGCTGAAGGCCCGCCTGTTTCCTGCTTTTCTTACGTGCTTGCTTGCGTTGTGGAAGAATATGGGGGTAGCGCATCTCTGGTCTCGGTGGAGAAGGGGAATGCCGCGGGAGGGAGTAAGGGGAGGTAGGCAAGGTTCCATGGGTTGGAGGAAGAGTGTTACAAGGAAGAAGGGGGGAGGAGGATTGCGGGAGAAAGATCTACTATAGGTGGGCGACGTCTGCGACGAGGACACCCCCTCATCTCTTTGGGCTACCTGCGAGGGGCGGCTGGCGGGCTCAGTGGTTTAGTCTCGCAACGTAGTTTGGAGTGCTGCGACGGCAATCCTAGCTGCGGTCCTGCTATCTTCATCGTTTGGTCTATTGGGTGGGTTGATTGGTTATCAATCACAGGCGGCCGAGTTGCTTGAGAGTCGATGAAGGAGGGGGTGAGGTTCGGAGAGAGGGGGGGTGCAGTGCGTTTAGGGATGTCAAGGGTAAGTTGTGTTTTCCTCTTCAGTTTCATAGTTATGATTTTATGATGACCTTGATGAGATTCTTAATGATGTGATTCTCGGATAGTTTTGCTTGTTTTGATACCTATAGGTTTCTAGCCTAGAATTCTCGATAGATTACAAATATATAACTAATAATCCTGATTCTGAGGTATGAAAATCAAGATTAATTTGAGATCAATCCTTATTTCTTTTTCATAGTTTTTCTTGATATGGGAATTTTTGACAAAAATTCTTGGAGGGCATTTCCGACTTTTTAGTTGATCTTGATCGGTAGTTTTGCGTCTGGTTTTAGAATTATTTCCGTTTCTTCTACTTGGTGTTTCCTGATCTACGGTCTGAACGATTCCTTGAACCTTAGGGTTCTGGAAATCAGAGTCGAAAGTCCTTTTGGACATCATAGTTGATTTCCTATTGTGTTTCAATTTCCAATTTATAAAAGTATGCTTTCCTATAAATTTTCCATTTGAAAAATCTTTGTCTGTAATTTCAACTTCCTAGTCTTGATTACTTTCGCTGCAACAAGCTGATTCTGATTGGCCTTTTTGTTAATTGTGTTCCAAGTTCTGCCTGGATCTTTGTATCGTATATTTGTGTTTTGCTTTGCGGTTTGTGGGGTTCTCCTTTAGTGTTGGAGCCCCTCCCCGTAAGGGTTTCACAAGGTGGGAGGTGTTATCCTTTTTTAGGGATTGTCTTTTTCTGGGCCAGGCTGATTTAGGGTCGGATCAACTCTGGCGGTTGGGAAGAGAAGACAAGGGGATGAAGCTGCTTACAGCAGGGTGTGAGGATGAGAGGGCTGCCTTGCCTGGAGGGGGTGGGGCAGAGGGGAACGGGGAACTTCAGCCTGTGAGGTTTGCTCTAGAGGGAATTGTATGCCTTTTAGGGGGTTGAAGTGTCCGGTTACAGGCTGTTCCGAGCAGGGGCCGAGAGGTGAGGGGTTGCCTCCCGGTGGGGGCAGTGTAGGAACAGGGGGGTTGTTTTTTGAGGGAAGGAGTAACTTCGATGGTCACACAGTGAGCGTGTTGTGGAGTCCCGGGTGAACGGTAAAACCTACATCAGAAGAGAGGATAATTTTTTTCCTCTCCTGATTAATTTTCTATTTGGATAATTT